GGTGGGGGGGGGGGGGGCGGCGAACACTAGCTTTGGGAGTGCGTGGGCAATGGTCATTGCTAAATGTATTATAACTTCACTGGCTGTGGGGATTGGTAAGGAGTAGTGGAGATCTCGATGGAACCAGAGGGTTCGTTTTAAGGGATGAATGTGCGGTTAGGTGCGTTGGGGGTAAAACAGAGATACAGTTGCAGTAATTATAATGGACTTATCACAGAACATGTATGGCATTAATCTTCGTCATCGTTAATGTAATGGTAGGTATTTAATATTTAAAAGAGTTTCGGTAAAACTAGGTCGGAGGATACGGGAAGCCAGTAATAGTACTAAACGATGATTATTGTTGTTCTCTGGTTGCCCATAATTCAGTTCATTCACCACACGTTTTTTTGCGATTTAATAATTAGTTACACAAAACGATTAATATTCCATACTATAATTGACTAACGTTTATTTATACATTTCATTTAATTTTTGTTTATCTTCATTATCCTCTAATAACGTATCGTCGTTCTCAAAATGCAACTCGCAACATTTTCAATGTATGTTTCCTGCGTACAAATACGATAGACATTTTTCATAATCAACATAAAACTCGATAAATTATGGACAACCCTAAATTTAATACAATAATAATTCGAATCTATCATTTTACCTACTACGCGATAGTTGGAAAGGGAGGGAGAAAAATAGTAGAGAAACAAAAGGATAGAAGAGAACAAAAGAGAACCTGTGCCGGGGGATCTGCAGACAAAAAATATACAAAAATACAGGGCACAGATTACGTAGCATTAATAGTAATCGTAATCATAGTTATACATATTGAGAGAAAGAGATCATAAAAAACACTAACTAGAATCATTTCTCCGTTGCTGGAAGAATTTGACATATACAATTAAAAATCACTATCGGTAATAAACAAAGTGTCTAGCCCCCAATGCGCACGTAGCAATTTGTCCCCATTAGGGGAAAATAGGGGAACGGGGGGGCATTGTTTGATCCGTTGACAAAGGAACAAAATATTAATCGTCTGGCGGACGCCTATCACAACTTCTCTGTTGGTTCGTGGCAACTAGCGAGCTTCGTTAGTCTCTTGGTCCTCCGGTTTGTGCTGCTGGTGTTACTTTCGTCCAGCGATGTTCCAGCCACTCCAGATCCCAGCAATAAAGAACCGCAATGAAAATCAGTGATATAACAGACTGATTTCCACAGAGCACAACGTCCGTGTGAACACGGGAGCTGAGGGGATCGGGAGTGGAGTTCAGCACTAGACACAATGGCGTTGACATAAACAGAAATTTCCGTTGAACACGCGCATTTCACAAACATGATCCTCCTGCTCTTGCTGTGCTCAAAAGACACACGTCGACGCATGACGAATGACGAGTTCGATTCCAAAATCCAGAGTCGCGATTTCGGCAATCGTGGGTGGGGTGGTTCCTTAAATCTTCCATTACTTTTTCCTTGTTTTCGTTTTTTTTTTCTTCTTCACATTTTTGCTTTGTTTTATAGGTGGGCGAGCTAGGTGGTTTATCTGCTGGTACAGTAACAGTCTTACCACCGACACTCACTGAACACAAGAGTATGGCGTGGGCGCACCCTCGCGTAACCTACTGGCCGTAACTCTCTTGGAGCTTCCATCGCGATGGCTTCGTCCTAGTAGCTGTGTCTAATGATCGTCGTGATGGTCGTGATCGTCGTAATCGTCGTCATCGTCGTGGTCATAGTCATCGTTGCCATTTTGACCAGTTTCAAGTGGACCAGAAGGTGGCGCACCAGGAAACATTTATTTAGCACTAATCGATCACTGTACACAGAGTCAAGAGGGATGTAAGAGAGGCGGAGGCGATGTGGTGGTCGTGCCCGGTGTTAGGGGCGACTGCTTTCAGCTCTGCTTAACCCGCTTTCGTGGTGGACCGATCGGTGGGATTTGCTGGGTCGCCAGGGCGCGGAAAGCCTCCGCTATCAAGTGTGGATGGGAGTTGACCATCGACTTAAAACCAGCGGTATCCATCACGTCCGTTGCGTGCCTGCAATACATACAAATTGCGACCATCAAGATTATTTATGTAGCAATATATTTAATTCTAGGAACCCCCCCCCATCTTCGCAGATTTAGTTAAGTTTAACCCTGTCGTCTTCTGTATATTTTGTGAGCTGAGAAATAGACAAACGAAAATACGACTCTCAATATAGCGTTAACGGAATAAATAAATGGGATTAGAAAGAAAAGAAAATATGAATAGAGAACGCTGAGAACTAATTCCACTATGCGAGGTATTCCTTTCACACGCTAGGACTTTTTTTCGTCACTCGCCTACTAAAAGGGAACAGATATACTAGTAACAGAAGATAGGGTATTTTTCAGAGGAGAATATCATTATCCAAAGGATATTCGAACGGCCGTGAAATGAGGCTGTGGAATGTTAATACAACACTACACACTCGTAAGAGGAAAAAAAGGTGTTAGTGTAGTTTTAATAGGCTTTATTGCATCGATCCTCGGATTAACTTGGCACAGAGTCACAAATACAATGTCTTCTAGAGGTATAAAGGTAGAGGTATAAGCGTGTTCCCCGCGGACAGACGCTAAATTAGTCTATATCAGTCAGTGATCGAGAAGAGAATTGCTCGCTGGTGCGTAGCAGAGTACCGAGATCAGTCGAGATTTTTCGGATGCCTAGGCAATAAAGACTTTAATAGCGAGTTACGTTCCAGACTCGTAATAAAGTGTTGTAACTTACGTATTGATGAAATCTATGGCCTGTGCCTTTAGTTGATCGGCACTGTGGAGATCGGCAAGGATGAGAATGTCTGCCGCATTCTCGATGGCTAAACTCGTGCACAGGGCTTCCTCGCACATCACTTTGAGCCTCTCGAGCGCGTACTTATCAGCCGCTGCTAGAAGGTCGTCCGCCATTTTCTCCAAATTCGCAGCCTTGCCGGTGTATATAAACCGTAACATCTCTCTCAATACTTCATGGTCTACATCGGTTATGTCTACTCTGTTCTGCTTCCGTTCTTCCATTTCGTGTTCGAACATGGCCGAGAAGACAGGACTTCGTGCTGAAAGAACAAAAACATGCGTTTCATTAGAATTGAAATTTCAAGGAATGTCAGGCAAAGAAGCTGACAGGTATCGGAGAGAAATAAATAAAATTGACATTACCGGCAAGGATAGCTTTATGCGCCTGGAATTCCCTGCCACAAACCGTAAGCGTGACGTCGCTGAATTTTTGGTTTTCAAAAAGTAGCCCAAGATCGTCGGGTAACCGGCACTCCGGAACTTTGAATTGTATCGTGTTACTCTGCCCAGAGATGTTAACACTGTCTGCCACCACACTCACCTAAATTGGATAGATGTTCGTTTTAGCGATCTTGGGATACACACATTACGTGGCAGTAATTAAATAAATGTGACAATAAACATACAAAGGTATATACCTCACAGAATATCGTGAGTTTATCGTCTGGTAATAGTCCATTGGCCTCGTCCAGGAGGAAATCTCTTCTGATGAACTTTTTAAAACCCCAATCTTTCCCTTGGACAAACCTATACGCTCGTTGGCTTTCTACAAAGAGAATAGAACCATATCCCAAATGTTAGTAAGCCGAATACTTCGTATCTATTTGATTAGCCACAAAACCTTATCCATAATTAGACACTTACCCATAGCTTTGGTTTCTTCCCTTTTGGCGTTAAGAATAGAAAATTTGAACTTTGCTCTGACTTCAGATTTGTTGCACGAAACGAGAAGGAGGTACAGGGACAAGTAGTCTTTACTTTCCTCATCCAGACCCTTAGGATTAACTCTTAGGCACCTGAAACAAAATATTTTCACATCAACATGTGACTCTTACGATAAGTCAAGGTACAGTCTTCGATCGTGTAAGAATCTCGAAAAAAAAAAAAAAAAAAAAAAAAAAAAAAAAAAAAAATTTAGGATCAAAGAATTTTAGTAAAAATAACATTTTTAAACTGCACGAAGAACGATCTATTTGTTCGGCGGCCGTTTCAATGAAAGTTCTGAAAGTGATTCCCCACGCGTTATCATTTCATACGCAGACTCTAAGAACTCATGCTACCGTGATATTCATATTTAACCATAATTCTACGACGCCAGTTCTGGCGCACTGATCATTCTTACGCGTCGAATGTCATAAAAAATGTTATGTAATCGTAAAAACGATAAAAAAAAGATGTATAGCTTACCATTTAAGTTTATCGTTGGCACCTGCCGAGAATGTGGACGATTTGAGAACCTCACCCATTTCTTCGCGACAAAAGCTGAAGTTGTTTATCGTCCACATGTAGCTGAACTTCACCACCTTCACCTGTGCACACAAGACCTTCAAATGCGACACCACGTCAGAGTTTGTCTCGTGGAGACTACCTTATTCTAATTAAATAATCTAATTAAATTAAAGTCGAGGCCAAACGTCCACGAGGACAGCGTGTATCCAGACCCAATGGGACCGAATTAAACGAAAAATTGTTCAGCTGCTCCACCAGCTTTCCAATCTTCGAAAATGTGTCCCGATCGATGAGATAAATTTGTATCTAACCTTGAAAAAAAAAGACTGCGCAGTAGAGCGTCATCGTGCCACGCGTGTACATGCTAGCGAGTCAGGGTCAGAGCAAATAGCCTCTATGCGTACTCTTCTTAAGCAGTGTCTACGACGAAGGGAAAAGAGAGGCAGAGGGAGGCAGCGCCCGAGAAATAGACGGAAGAATGACAGGGAAAGAAAACTTAACGGTACAGCCGACGAAATCGCATAATCGACAGGAGATCCCAAGCGTTTCGTCTTACTCTGGAGTAATAGAAAAAACAAGGCCTACCAAGAAGACACGTAACGGCTCGCCGATCGGGTCGATAAAAATACTTCATACGGAGATGGACGGTAATCCAAGAGAGTCAATGTTAACAGTGAGTTATAACACTTAAAAAAAAAAGTCATTGCCCTCGTCGAATCACGCGTTAACTTCGTGACGCTGACCGGACGATAAGATTCCGAGTTATTTAAGCGGAAGGTCACAGGTGGATATTTTCAGAAGCAAACTCAGCTTCAGAGAGAAATTACTCAAGTCCACAAGCCCTACACGCACGGGAGGTCCAAGGCCAATGTCTCCAGTGGCTAAAAAACAAAGCCCCCCTCTCGATCCAAGAACGACGAAGGAAGCCCGGAGGCTGATGATCCTCCGAACGATAAGATGATCCAGGTAAGTTTTGAGAGATGAGTCCAGCTTCCAGAAGGACGAGGGTCGTAGGAGGGAGTACCAAGGAGGAGAGGCCGGCAAAGGTGGCGAAGTAGGAGTAAAGATAGTAAGGCGGAGAGGAAAGGAGTACACGAGGTCGAGCCCCCCTAGGAGTCAACGCTCCCTGACGTCACTAGCTCGCCCGACCTTGGCGAACGGAACGAAGCCCAGCGCCAAATCTATTTGTCTATTTTGTTTGGTGAACCGAACTAGACGGAAGACAATCGCGGCGACGAAGACGATGGAACTCACTGTTACCACCACCGATGGAAACGCGTCTTGAACGACGAATACGCACAACCGGAGTCTTATCACTGACGATATTGCTAATCGAACGTAACGACGCGTGGGTTGCATAACGTCAAGGCAATCGAGTCAATGCCCTACCCCGTCTCAGGGTCCCCAAGAATTGAATTAACCTCGCGGGTTTTCGTGACGTCATCGATGATTCCAAACTTTACTAAACGACATCGTGTGCCTATAGCGAAGTCATCCTCGAGATCCCTAAGACAGTCTCTTAAATGCTAGGTGCTAACCTCGAAACTCCACGAGGGCCATTTGCTATTGAATACCGGGAGTACTCAGAGAGTTCCTGTCATCTTTGAACGCTCTTTTGAAACGCAAGGTCTATCCGTCCCCGTGCTTAACGAGAAATACCTTTGGTATGCGAAGGGCTTCGCCAGGGACTCCGAGAGTCGAGTGAAAGTCCATGCATTGATTGTACCGGGAAGCCATTTCTCCATTGGGATATTAACCATGATGGTTTTATGGAACCGAGATACGATTACTACTGTTGGATGCTAGTGGGAAGTTTAGTCGAATGATCATCTTCGTAGGATCGTTGGCACCGAACAGCTCCCAAATAGAATAGATGTCCATAATACTTTCTATATTAATCACCGTAAATTAATTTTGTCTGGAAATCGCATGTCATGAATTACTATATGAAAACTTGTATATATATATATACACACACACACACACGCGCATATTATCTTGGTCAGATCGTTAAATCGTCGAACCGACTCGATCGAGTACTATACTTTTTCCTCCTATTCCGAAGCATACATATCGTCTCTGGGATATTGAGTCTTGTGCACTTTCTCCTATATAACACTGCGACGAGAGCACAACGTCTCAGGCGCTAATTAGTGCCACTCTATTTTCGAATTAACCGATCTAACGAGTGCAAGAGACGACTGTCTCACGCGTGTCTCGTAAATACCAAGGGAGATTAAGTGTACGTGAGGATCGGGGAAAATAGATTGCGAGTGTTACGGACCACGTGAATCCTGGATCTTCCATGTAATTAGGATTTCAAAAGCATCCGCGTGCACTGGCAGCAAGGTTAGGTTAGAACCTCAAGATATAATCATCGCGTCAAGTATGGCGGACACAATGTATAAATACCCGTAAGCCTAGATCGGGTTCTAATCGTGAAAGTGACGTAATCGAATACGGTGATTTTGAATAAAGATTCCGTCGTATCGATTCTCGCGTTACGCCTTCGCGCCACGTAACGAAGGGATGTCCGCGTCGGATTAAGATTCACAAATCGGAAAGACCGAGGCTGAAGGTTCCGCGTAGGATCGGGTACGGGTTGAGTTCAATGAACGCAGCTGGGGTAATCGCATCGGCCATACTTTTTGCGTTCAAATGAGATTCCGCGTGTATCGTCCGTGTATCCGTCGGAGGGACCAGGCTTATTGCTTGATATTCCCAGCGAGTCTCCGGGAGCTTTCGCGCGAAAATAAAAGCCGTTATCGGCGATCGGCTCTCCGTAGCTCCAGCGAGTTTCCATCGAGACACGTTAATTCCCTAGGGACAGATGCCAGTGAGTATGGTATTGCTACTCCTCCAGAGAGGCTAGAAGCTGAAATTGCGTCACGTCCTAGTAACTACAGTCGGGGGCTCGAACAGTGACTGGAATAGTTGAAAGGGATCGACGGGTTAGGTGTATCCTCGTATAAGCGTACTGTATACAGAAATGTGATATAATTCTTATAAATTTATTACCAACTGGAGAAACGGAAGGTCACAGCGTGCGGGGGATGATGCTATTCTCATGGCATACACGCACTTTGTCAGAGCAGAGGTCGAGGATAGATGAGCCCTCGCGGTTAGAGCACGTTGTCGGGTTGGTAGAGTTCTCTGCGTCGATGTGAAAGAATATCCAGGTGTATTCGCAGTCGGTACACACAGGTGGCGGAGGGACCTAGAGGTCTACGCTCCGGTCGAGGAGCGGTCGACGCCCGACGAGTCGTTCAACTCGTCGTCACCAACCACGCCAATCGGCCTTGAATCATCCTCTCGCGGTGTGCTCCGTCTATGGACGGACCGGGTTCAAGCACCAGCCGTTACACTTCCGCCAAGAGAGAAGCACGATGCACGTTTCACGATTGGTATATGACGCGTGTACACGGAGGGTCCGCACCACGTGTCTTGTCAACGGGCGAAGGAACGCAATACGAATGAAGTGAACTGGCTAGCTGAGAGCGAAACTGCGGCTGAGAATACTACGGATATGGAGTTCCTTCTTACTGGCTCGTTCACTGGCTCCGCTTCTTCACGGGCTGGCTCACTGGCTCGGCCACCGCGGGACAATGACACTACGCACGCCAGCGACGCGGTTGTGGACGGGGCTTTAAACTCTATTACGTGGGTACGACCATGCACTGAAGCTCGAATGGCCTGGCGAGGCGCATTCTCGAGTCTCAGGAAAGCTCACGCTCTAAAGCCTGGCCGGAGCAGCCGGAGCTATCGTCTCGTTGACGATGGAACACGGCCCTCGGACGCCGCTGTACCTGGTGCGCGCTCCACTCTTGTGACCGTCCACTCCGAGGCAAGATCACACGTCGAACTCGAAGACTATCGCGAGAGTGAACTAGAGCACGGATTGGCTTTCGATTCGGTGGAGAGAATCCTCAGCTGCCCCGTAACAGCTATGCCCTCCGATTCTTGTAGTCCGGAACCCATGTTTCTGGGAACCGAGCAGCAATCGTCCAGGCGCCCGGAAGAACTACGAGAGGGCAACGCACTCGGCACGGTTCACGCGTTCATCGTAAACGTTCTCTGGGAACGGCTGTCAAGGGAATGACATTCGAGGAGTCTCCCTGGTCAGCCGATTTCTATGGCTTTGTTTTTTACGTTGGCAACGGAGCGCCGCCGATTCTTTTCATTGTGTTTATATTGTGGGTGTATATGTATCGCGTATTGACGAATCATAGTTTCTTGACCTAAAACTCGAGAACTGCCTTACTTGAGGTCTTCCTTCGATTAGGGACATATCAGTCACTGCTGGTAACCTGCTTTCGCGATTGCGAATTGCGACCGAGTGATGCAATTATGGTAACGTAATAGACTACGAGCAAACGTAATTTCCTGGTTCGCTGTTCTCGTTATCATAATCAAACAAAGATCGGTATGCGGCCAGCATTTCGTTACGGCAAGAGAGCGCGCTGTGTTAAGTGAAAGGAAGAGAGAGAGGAGAGAAAATAGTTACACAGCCATTGCTCCGTGAACCTCGGTGCAACATGGACACCATAGATAATCGGTGGGAAACGTATTTCGACATCGGGAGACACGTATCGGCCCAAGGCTCCCGAGCATTACTTTCCACGATCCGTCTTCCGAACTCCCACGATTCCCCAAGCGTCGAAGACTTTTCTCTTCCCTGTTTCTCTTTTTCTTTCCGCGTCCTAGGATGCACCTCCCCAAGGACTCATTATGAACGTATGAATCCGGCAAGTCTTCGGTACACCCCGGAAGTCCGTAATCGCATCACAGAATAGTATCCGCTTCCTATTGGAAAATTTTCATCCGCGATACGTTCCAATAATCAAACTCTAAGTAAATACCAAAAGAGTTTGCTCCTGGCGAAGCAGTCGTTCGCCAAGTTGATTGGGAAGCATCGATCCGCGAGAAGGACCAGATAAGGACGTCAGTCGGTGACAAAGGAAAGATAGAATGTACTCAGCAAAGTCCTTCCAGGAGACCAGGGAACAATTTCCCTGAGTCGAGCTATCGACGGGCAGCGTTACTAAATATTCCATGCAAGTGTATCAGACAACGAAGAGTGGAATGGCATGGTGGAGCGCAAGATATCTAGTTGCAGGTCGTTCACTTCAGAAGGGAGTGAGTAGTAAAAATAGATCCAGAGCACCAGGAGCGTGCTCTCACGCACAGCAAAGCTTAGACGTCACGTACCTTCTTCTGCCCCTCTGCAGAGATACAACCGTAGACGGAACATTTTTTTCTTTCATGTTCTCTAATCCACGTACTCGTTGATTTCTCTAAAACAATTCGCATTGCAATTTACCGATTTATTTACGGGCCGGATGATCGAAGACTGTGACTCTCAAGACGCTAGCATGTACACGCATATCCGGTTAGACCAATAAAAGTCCATGTATCTCTTCGGGACATAGGCATGGACGATCGGCATCAACTTTTGTTACATGCGTCCTACACATCCGGGTAGATGTCTAATGTCCGCTCGAGGACGACGCCGACGACGGAAGCCGCCTCATGATCCTAGTCCAGGCTTAACGTAGCTACCGTGAGGCGTTCGCCAGTGCAACCGTCGTCGCGCGTCCTTGCCTCGCGAACAGGTTTCGGTCCAGAATTACCAGTCATCTCTCGTGACGAATAAGCAGGATCACATAAGTCGTACGTACCTGTGTGTAACACCAGTTTTCAGCAACGGGAGTGTTTACTTCCGGTGGCGGGGGGCTCGGGACACGGCTCACCGCCATGCTACTGCTGCTATGCAAGTTGGAGCTGACTCGCGACGTCTGAGGCGCACAGTCGCTCACCGCAAGTCTGAAACATCCAAGAAGACACTTCCGTTAAAATGAGTCAGACGCGCTTGTGTACGAGATAAGTAAAATTAAAAAAAAAAAAGTTAGCTGAGTTAGTTGGATGAACCCCGTAGTGAGAGCATGAGCGAAGAAGCGACCAAAACCAATCAGCAAGTCTTTGATTCGCGAGTCGCAGCTGCTTAGGCCGAGTATGTACAATTATTAGTATTTTATTAGTAGCGTGAAAAATGAATCTACAGTCAAGCCCGTCCACCTCGGACATTCTCATTCCCATGGGGACTACGAGGATCTACGAGGTGGAACCTTCTTTGTTGGTACAGACAGTTACGCGATGCGAGTACCAAACGGTGGAGGTCATCGACAGTTGATCAACCCATCCTGAACCCAGGACCGATCGCAGAAGAGAGCAAGTCGGTGTTCGAAATCTGGGAAGCGAGATGAGACAAAGTAAGGAGTCGCTGAAGAGAAAGGAGGGAGAAGGTGCGAGAGAGGCAGGACAGAGGAGAAATAAACGTAAAAGAAGGGTATGCAGGGCATGCGATGGAAGCTCACGTGCGCCAAGTACGGTACGGAACCACTGACTATCGTCGAGTACATTAGCCCCCCAGGTTCATCGGACCTGCTGTGTTCAGCCAGCCAAAGCGTACCAGCCCACCATCACCAGCACCACTACTACTACCCATCTCCCATCTGACCGTCCAATTCCCTTTCCGCTCTAAACCGCCTTCAGAATGCCTATCGCATCGTCATCATCCTCGAGTCTGCCCCCACGACTTGGCCTAACCGCTGTAGAGAGAAAAGGGCCCAAACGAAGCACATCTGTGAAGTCGATTCCACGCGCGTCCCATCGACCATAACGAATGTGAAGAGCTGCTAGGTGGACGCTACGTTCAGAATATAAGAGTATTTAGCTGCTTCCGAGAAGGCTTCCGTGTCGCAACCGAGGGGGCGAAAATGGAGCACGGTAATTGGAGTTCGGATGGGATAACATTGCTGAAGTAACGTAACGCCATGAACTATGTGGATCCCGAATATCCACTTGATAGGTGTATATAGTTTAACGTATTATTCATCGTGATACCTGCACTATACATTTCGGTGAGAGCAGCTCTATACTTATCCGTTTCACTATAGTCTATATGCATGAGCGCAATTTAATCGAAGACAAACGCTAAACTATTTGACGAGACCAGTACTGAATTTGACGTAGCGTACGCGGAGTACAGCTGGAGCAGTTCTCATGGAGAATCTCGAAGGTGAGAGCAACCGCGGTATTTTCTTGCGTAACGCGGTCTCTTGTATTCCCGAGGAAAGTCGCGTGGGCACGATATGAAGAAACAAACGCGTTACGGTAAGCCGCCACGAGAGAGCACATCTCGTTTCCGCGATCACCAGCCGTGGCGAATGTTTCACCGGGTATTTTGCAAAAAGCTTAGTAAAAGTCTGTATCTCCATTTTTACAATGTCACTTTTAAGCGATCTCTCTCTCTCTCTCTCTCTCCCTATGTATGTATATGTATATGCATAGCTCTTTCTCCGTACGTTCACTCACAAACGTTATCCACTAATAATCTGACACGCTTCGAACGGTTTCTCCCCTCTCGCTCAAGCTCTCTGACGTCTGACTTTCACTTCTACACGCTCTGTACATCCACGTTCAACGTTGTACCTTAGCGATTGCTCGAGCTGAGCTCTAGGCGCTGCGACTTCGTGAGAATCAGGCAGGAAACCTACAGACTATTGGATTATTATTCAAGTACGTGATATCTCGTATCGGGATCTGGCATCGACACGAAACGACTCGACGTCTTGGTCACTGATCGAAAATATAATGAAACTACATCGTAAAGCGTCGGAGCTACGTATCTGTAGGTAGAACGTTGTAAAGAGTCATAACGTTCGGAATCCGCTTCGGTAGCGTCGCAACGGGTAAGCCCGATGATCTGGACAGGATAGTCGAGAGCGGAAGAAAGAAGGAGACAGTCAGATCGAGAGTGTATAGATGGTAATGGAGGCGTCACTGGGTCGTCCAGGGGAAAGTAGAACGTAGCTGCTGTCGGTGAAAACGATGAAGTTAAGTGAAAACTACCTATACTCCTCTGAAACCTCGTAATTATAGTACCTGCGGTAGGGGGCTTGCCAAATCGGCCCGGGAATCAGTTCTGTCCCAGTTCGGTCCTTCCTATTGGCACAGGCTTGGCGATAAGTTTCCGCGAACCAGGTATACTCGCCGTGCTCGAGTTCGAATCGCGACGATCGTCGCTCCAGCCGTTGAGGATGATTCTGCATTTCCGTATCGACTTTCGCGAGCTTGCCAAATCGATCCGGGAATCTGCACTGTCCCAGTTCGGTACCTCCCATTGGCACAGGCCTGGCAATAATTCTACATCAGCCAGATATACATGTATATAACGTCGTCCTCATAAAGCTTCAACTCCAAAGATCGTTCGGATCGGGTAACGTGACGATCAGTCGTAACGATTACGATTCCTGATATCGACTCTCCTCCACCGCGAAGCAACGTCAACAGTTGATGCACCTAAGACACGCTCTGGGTATATTGGAAAGACGTACGAGGTTGCGCGTGCAAGACCAGCCGTGATGACGATTCTGGTCGAAGTAGGAGGAGGCACGCTGCTTTACCGGCAACGAGTAACGTAGACGCTACGATGGAAGAAACGGATACGGAGTCGGTTAGTCGTGAATTAAGTAGTAGACTACGTGCAGCGACCGCGGGTGAAAGAAAGTCTCGAATGACAACAGATCGTCAGCTGAGAGCCGTGACTTATGTAATCGGTATTCGCTCCATGGACTGGAGTGTATCGGGCGATTCGAGTCCGTATAAGATGTGCGATGCGATAAAGTTTCCCGGCAGGGCGTCTAGTTGTACTGTAGGTAATACGAATTGCGTTAGAATTATTAAGGTCAGATCCATATCGACGTGGGATACGACACGGCTTGAGATTAGAAGGAAAAATGACCTACATATGTATACGCGTCGACTTGTGGCTGCCGCGTAACGATTTACGCGTTTATAATGCCGCAGTGACGTTTCCGTGTTTCGTTGTTATAAGTATTTAGAAATGCTCCTTGACCGTGTCGATCAAATTGAGAATCCCTTGGTGCGTATCTCGTTATCGATATTTCGAGTGTGACCTAACGCGAACTTCAGAGTACGCGGTCGCTTTGGAAAGTCGGCCTGAAAGGAGTTGGGCTGCCGAGACGAATTAACGGCTACGAAAAAGGCAATTCCGGGACCTTAAACGAGTATAGTTTGTTCCTATTGGACGAAGCCGGTGTGGCACGTGCTGTCAGTTGCGAAGCAGGCTGAGGTCAAGTTGCCGAGTGATCTGAATATTATTTATGTGTCTAGGCCAGGATGAATGGAAGGAGCTATGCGTGAATGGGTTTCCTTGAAAAGTTTGGTGAAATATTTGATTCCATAATCGGTCAGGCCCGATGAGCATCGTAAATACATTTCGACTGCACCTACGTCGTTACTTCTTTTACATTGTCATTGGGAATTCGGCGTCCGTGACTGCCTGAAAAATCCGTCGAGCAATAATTACGTGGCAATAAGCAATAAATCGCGCACAAACAAGTCGTATCGTGGTTTACCGCACAAAAATAAATGACAAAAAAACATTTCATTTTCCTGTTATACTCGGATATTTATATACGATAACCGTAATCTGTTACTGTGCAATTCTTTCACGAGCAGTGAAATATTCGAGGAACGTCGTATAGAAATACACGGAAACCATCAAGGATATATTGGACCGTGAAATTATTGCAAGCCGGCAACTGACGAAAACAATGCATACTCTGTGTCCACCCGTTTCAGTATCAGCAATGTTTTTTTCAACAAGGACTGCCTCTCGTTGACAGCTGTTTATAATACCGGAAGTAAGTTAAACGTCATTTAAAATGAATAGCGATGGGCGTACAGTGTAAATTATAAATATTCACGGTAAAGTCATTGGGTTAAATATCACGAGATTTAACGAGCTCTCCGAGCGGACCATCCATTCCGCGATGGATAACGCGCGCGAGTCAAGTTTCGCAGGAAAGTTAATAGAGGCAGCGCCGGGAGTCAAGGCTAGAACCTGCGCGAGCGAGTGTGATAAGACAAAGGCTAACTTCTCAAGGGCGCAATAAGACTGCCTTACGGACGAGCGGGCAAAGTCGCCACATGTGCACATAGCCTTAACGTGAGAACGATATACATATATACGGCGGAAAGAATATCATTTCAAACAAGTAAATCACGGTTATGGTCCGTTGTAAGTCGAATGGTAAAAAAGATATTCTCGATCACGCATTTACGATTGCGTAAGTCTACCTCGGTGTTATCTAAGAGTATAATCTGGCGGCAGTGATATTTTTCGGGCTGTAAATCATTCATCGGTAACTGGTGTGACCGTTACACGAGGTTAACGATGCACCAACGGGATAATACCGTTCGAGTTACCTGGAGCTCGAATCTAGTGATCGCGATCTGTTAGAACAAAGATCCCGAAGAGATTGGATATATCGACAAATCAAATGGGAGACCGAGTTTCTACGTGAATCCTCAACGACTAAAGTTAGTGTACCAAGAGTTCGCAGCTTTGCAGAATATTCGCCCGAATATTCATCGAGAGTGTATTCTTGTGTGTCTAGTTACTTTTTCTAGTCCCTAGTGACTTTCGGGAGAAATTTCAAATATTCTTTATTGAATTCTGATATTTGCCACTGGCGAAGTTACGTTAATACGGTAGTCTGGTATTTCGTGCGATTCGATCTTCGTCATGGGTTATTTGAATAAAATGAGACTGGTAGTTAATAAATCAGTGTATCGATTTAGCATAAATCGCAGAGCGATTAATCGAATGACGGTAACGCTAACGATCAGCAGGAAGAATCATGACAGTTGATATTCAGCATTCAATTTGTCACGGATCGATATATGACTAATAAACGTGGACAGACTCGGTTTTGCTCCTCATCGAACCGTAACAACAAAATTCTACGGGCGCACGGAGCGCGGACGGGATACGCGTAATATCTACGCAGCAGAGAATAGTCACAAAGTGGTAGGACAATCGAGATTCTTATCCTTCGAGTAATTACAAAAGAGGGACAGAAGTAAGTTATTCAACGATGGCAAAGTTACCCAGGATTAAAGAAAATTCTCGAACCAACCAAAAGAATCTTTAGATACTCTCTAAATGTAAATCAGCGACAATCGTGGAGTACGTAGGTTCAGAAAATCACTGAAAAAAAAAACTCAAGTTACATAAGTGGTATAGTTCCAGCAGTGATGTCGGTGAATATGGACTGTCAATTGGTGTTTTTCGCTGATTCACATTTAGAAAGTACGTCAAAGACGTTTAATATTCCGCAAAGTCCGTTCAAGTAAATTGAATATAAGTGACGAAAAAGAAAGTCAGCGCACGTAAAAAGATCTTGATTCGGTTTAAAGATTTACGATCGTAATGCATTCCGCGAGTCTAAAACACATTGTGGTTCATTGTGATTGTCCATCCTTGAAGAAGAAGAAGAAGACTTAACGGTCGTCGAGGGTACGAGAGTCCGCCGCCGTTAATGGAATCTTGTGATCATGAAACATTTATCGGCGGAAAAACAATTTCCATGTACTTTAGAACAGGAGGCTCCTTTATGCGAAAAGTAGAGAAAATAATAACGAGAACGATAAGCGCGAGTCTTTTAAAAGTCAATTCAGCAGCTCCTCGGCGTACCTCGAATCCTTATACGTCCTTGGTAAAAGCATATAACAGCGCGCAGTAGAAAAATATTCAGTGAAGTGTCTCAAACCACCATAATAGCGGGACGGACAGACCACTCGACGTCTAAATGTCTAACGCACACACGATCCAGTCAAAGTACAGTGCGATACATTAAATAAAGTGCAGTACGGAAAGGGGACTTGGCAGGCAAGAGACAGACAGGCAGGCAGGCAGGCGGACTGGCTTGGTAGCCTGGTTACTCGATGGCTGGCTGTCTGGCAAAGGGACTTTAGTGAGGGAGAGTTAGAA